GTCAAAAAAACATAAGATCAGAAAATCGGACTTTCACCCTGAGAAATCACTCAGTCCTAGGTATTCGGACTCGCTCTTTCGACCAATCACATTCTTTAGAGCTAAAAAACCGGCCAATCAGGAACTTTTGGCCTCGGGCTTTCGACCAATCAGATTCTCTCAAGCTAAAAAAGCAGCCACTCAGGGGTTCTCGACCTCGGACTTTCTACCAATCAGACTCTTCCAGGCTAAAAAACCGGCCAATTAGGGATTTTCGGCATTGGACATTCAGCCAGTAGTATTTTTTCATCTTGAAGTTCCAGCCAATCAGGGGTTTTTCCGTATTGGGCATTCAGCCAATCAGTTTTTTTCATATTGAAATTCCAGCCAATTAGAGGTTTTCAATATTAGGCTTTCGACCAATCAGATTTTTTCATATTGAAATTCCAGCCAATCAGGGGTTTTTCCGTATTGTGCATTCAGCCAATAGGGTTTTTCATATTGAAATTCCATCCAATCAGGGGTTTTCGATATCGGGCAGTCAGCGAATCAGATTTTTTCATATTGAAATTCCATCCAATCAAGGGTTTTCGATATTGTGCATTCAGCCAATAGGATTTTTTCATATTGAAATTCCAGCCAATCAGGAGTTTTCGATATCGGACAGTCAGCCAATCAGATTTTTTCATATTGAAATTCCATCCAATCAGGGGTTTTCAATATTGGACATTCAGCCAATCAGATTTTTTCATATTGAAATTCCATCCAGTCAGGGGTTTTCGGTATTGGGCATTCAGCCAATAGGATTTTTTTATATTGTAATTCGAACCAATCAGTGGTTTTAACTTGAAGAAGCCAATGTAAAACGGTATTTGTAAATGAGGTCGCAACTTTAACGGTACATGGAGAATAACGAACTATTGTTTTAATGTATTCAAATAGTGGAGCGATTAGCCATGAGTAGCGCCCCGTAGGAGCGTGGATGAAAGACTAATCGCTGATATTGCAAGCGCATTCATCATACGCTCCTGAAAAGATCTATATGAAAGCTAGGTCCATTAAGAATACTGTACTAAGATTCCCTTCATTAGGAATCCTAATAAAACTGTGACTTTTCAGTTAGACAATTAGGTTGAAGAAATAAGGAATAGTTCATAACAAAGTGTCGATTCCGGACTGCCCATCGAGAATTTTTATGTTGTAAATCTAACTATTTTTCGAAGTAAGAGCAGCCTGGAATTTGGCAGAGTGTAAAACAAAGAGGATGATCTTATGGGAGAATAGGATTACACGTGGCAGCGGCTAGCCGCGAGTGGCGCCCCGAAGGGGCGCCGACGAGTGACTAGCCGCTGCACTGGAAAATTCCCTGGAAGAAAGCTTCAGGTTGTTGGGATTCATCGAATGAATATCAACAGTGTAGATCTGATGGGTTTCAATATGGGCTAGCAGTGGTAAAGAACTGAGAAATAATCTAAATAAAGTGTGAGAATGGATTTTCTGCACGTGTACAATATTTGAATAGTACATTTCACAGAAAACATTACTCAAAGAACTTATATTCGCTGGATCGAAAGTAGCTATGAATGAAATAAGAGGGAGTTTTTCTGTTGGTATGTGTTCTTGTCTGTATTCATTCACGTGCGGGAATATATACGGGTATATTCAAATCATCTGTCGAGTCCAGCGGCTGCATCGAGTAGGAGCTTCTTTCAAGTATAACATTCGGATTACAGATCAGATCTTATATAATTTATTTTAAGCTAGAAGTTCAACTGAACTTGTATTTTTCTAGCGATGCTCTAGCAAACAACATTGTCGGCCGATGTGCTAGTAAGCATATGGATTTTTAGTAGAATTTTCAAGGAGTATGGCACGTTTTCACAACGGTGCCATAAATACGTTTTGCTTCGTGATCCCTCAAAAAATTCAATATAATCTCTCTTTTCGGGAGCTTGCGAATACGACCGCCGTAGTGTAGTTCATCTAGATTCCTGTTGAGTACCAATATGTGGGTATCAATTTGATTCGATAAATTTATGACAAAAATGATCACACGGACCTGCATATCATTGTACACAACGAGATTGACGCTAATTTCAACGTCCACACACCTATCCATCCTTTTGAAACGTTGGATACTAGCTTTGTTGAAGAACGTAAAGCAGTATATATAGGCATGCACCAAACCCAAACGGTTTGGGTTTGGTGAGTTTGGGTATTGGGTTTGGGTTTGGGTATTGAGTTTGGGTATTGAGTTTGGGTTTGGGTATTGAGTTTGGGTTTGGGTTTGGGTATATGAGTTTGGGTTTGGGTTTGGTTATTGAATTTGGGTTCGAATTCTATGTGTATTTACTTTGTATATAGTATTGAAGTAGGCAGTATTCTTGCAGTACATCCTAATGTGTAGAATTATATGATTAAGATTGGTATATCACATAAAAATAAAATTAGGACTAGAAAATCTTATTTTCAGTGAATTTGCTCGACTTAATGTTGAAATACCATTAAAAGTAAAATCAGTGTGCCGCACTTTGGTAGCCTATAAATATCTCGCAGCTTCATAGATTTATCTAAAAGAGTTCATATTGTATTTAAATCTTAATACTATTAGATGATGTATCTTTATGACGAAATATATAGTTACTACTTTGTTGCAATGTAACAGGTAGATAATAGTTTAATTGAAAACGTTTTTAAGTTCCAATTTCAATTACTTACGCTATGCTTTGTATAAAAACATCTTATTTTAACGTGTGGTTCGAATTCTTTTATTTCAATGAATATAAACACAAAAAGAAGTAGCATTAGGAAAAAAAATAACAATTTTCAAATGACATTATATTAATACTAATTACTTTAGTATTATTTTTTTTCTTTCGGTTTTAAAGCTTATCTTTAAGAAAAACTGACATAGCTAGATTATCTGGTGATAATCGCGAACGTTCTTTTCTTCCATAATGTGCAGAAACAGAAAAAGCCGATTCGCTTTGGACGCTTGTAGCAGAAGCTGATAAAAAACACCGAGCCATATCTGATAATAATGGTAAATCAACACCATGTTGTTTCCAAAAAAGTAAAGAATTTGTAAATTGATTATCGATGAAGATTCCCAGTAAAATTATCTCACATTGTTAAATTTGAATTAATATAGACTTTAATTACGCATACTTTGTCTAATTTAAGAAAATTTCTTATAGAACTTTCGAGTAACTGCGTTTATCTACTTCAACGAAAATCAGCTTTTCAGTAGAAAGTAACTAATTTGATACACTAAAAATCATCTGTATACATATAGCTTAAAAAGAGATCAATATTCTGAGTGTATGAGCTTGGGGTATTCTGATATTTATCACTCTTGTGATTTACTTTCCATCACCGAAAGAAATTTGTCTTCTGCAATGGATAAGAAATAGTTTTGGTACCTTCCTGTAACTAAGTTGTTCACAATCATAACCGAATATATGACGAAACTTCGATGGTACAAACCAAGAATTTTGTAGACAGAGACACGTGTAGTGAAGTTTAATATCAAGCTCAAGTTACAAGTATTAACAATTTTTGCTAAATATGATCAGTCCAATTATATATCTAATTATAATAATCAGTTACGTGCATTTTTACAAATCTGCGTCGAGTAATATCATCTAAGTATTGCACCTAAAATAAGATTTTCATACGTACAATTTAGTTGCCAAATTTCGATATCTTTTTATATCTGATTGAATGGTAGATGTTGCGATTGGTTCTTGAAGTAAATTCTTGTTAGTAGATCTAAGAAAACCTTGCCAAGCTTTGTCTATATTAGTTATTTTTTTCGTTTGTTGATTTGATGATGACGAAGAAGTTTCTGATGATAAGAATAAATTTTTATATAATTTTGTTATATCTTTTTCAATTATTGTTTGTTCAACTCTTGTAAGAGCCGAAAAACCAGTTGGATCAAAATATGAATATAACTGGAAAAAAAAATAAGTTATTTATGTAATAGATTAAAATAATGCATATCACTTACTTTTAACGTATTAAATTGTTCTACATCATCAATAATATACTGTTGAAATTTATTCAATACAATTTGTTTTAAAGCATTTAAAATTTCATTATTATCTTCTTTTGTAAGATGTTCTTCTAGACTTTTCATAAGATATAATGCAGATCCAACAGTTGGATATTTTGTATTGCTTAAAACTTTTGTGGCTGAATAAAATGGATGTAATAAACTAATAATCAAATTTAAAAGATCCCATTCATCACTTGATAGTTCAACACGTGTTAATTTTCTTCGTTGTTTAGCTGAAAGATCAAGACTTCCTTTTGATTTGAACATATCATTAATAAAACCACGATAGAGATTAACTGTATGCAGCATCTTATAGGTACTGTTCCATCGTGTTCTTACATCAATTACCAAACGTCGTTTGATTTTGTTCTTTTTGTTAACACGTACATTAAAATTTAATCTTTGTTTTTCAATAAAACTAGTTAATATTGATGATCCTTTAATTGTATTAACAATCTCACGTGTTTTATCAATCGTATCTTTAACCATTTGTGGTATATAATCAAGTAATGTTTCTTCGGTATTAATTCCTTCAATAAAATTATCAGTTGCTTCATCGTCATCTTCCTCATCTATCCATTCTTCGTCTGATGTTGCATCAATCAATTGATCATTCGACTCTAATTCACCACTGACATCATCATCTTCCTGCATAGAAAATTCAAGTTTAAAATCAATAACCTAAGACTTGATTATCGATAAAGTGTTACATTAGAACTCGAATTTATAGCTTACTATTGTCTTAAGCTACTCTCACAAAAACATTTCCATTTAGCATGATCTACCCGGACTGAAATTTTCAGGAATGACTAGTCCTAATTAGAAGCGCTTCTAAACAAAATTTCACTCCGATGCGTCAAATTAGACCAAACTCATAACTTATCTATAGGCAATGTATGGCCTTCAGGCCAATTCCTAAAATTTGTCCACTACAAGGAGTACAGAACCTGAATGATTTCAAATCAAAGTCAACACCTGTATACAATTTTTCATCGAATAGAATTTTAAAATTTGTTTCCATTCATCTTTTATGATTATTTTAATATACATGGTGTTAAGATAAGCAAAAAAACAGCCACTTCAAAACACTAAATCATGGCTGTCTTGAAAAAGAAACCAATCACAAAAAAAATCTGAACGAACAAAATTTTTATTTCATTTTGATCTTTAAAACAAAAAATCCTGGTTATATCTTGAAGCAGATAGGTTGAGTTTCAATTTCTCCAATAAAGAAATCATGTTCTGAGAAAAAGGGCAAATAAGTTTAGATATGAATTTTTTTATTCAGATCCAGGAAAAACGGCATATGCGAAATATTAAAAGAGTTCAACAGATTTCATAAGCTAGCATCATGTGTTGTGTTTAAGTTGTAGAAGAGTGTTTATTCAACGATAATGCAAATAAAAAATAGTCTTCTTAAGAATAAAAAAAATACGAAAATCTTTTTGAAAACCGGCTAGTTCGTGGTAAATCTTCTCTGAGTCTATTAAAATTTGGTCTCTTTTTGAAGTCATATTTATTCTGAAAGAGGGAACTTCGCTGCGTCTTCCGATGAGAATAGCTCGACTTCAATTAATTTTTCAAAAACATAGGTTTTGTCATGAAGAACTTAGCCCATAATAGGACTGAAAACTTATTTTACTTGACATCTATCATTACGATTAACGTTGAGGAATAATAGACTGTCTTCTTTTCGATATCACAAAACGATTGTTGTTTTTGTTATGCATATGTGATAGTGTTTTTATTTGGTGATAGCTTGCACTTAAGATCTATTTATAGTCATATTTTTCACGATTGTTTTTTTTTCTTTTATAAAAAAAATATTTGAACAATTACAACTTAAGTATTACCTATTAAATATATATTATAATACAAGGGACGCTTCTATATTGATTAAAAATCTGTTGCTATTTGAAATGAACTCAATAATTATTAATAACATACTATGAAATCAAAGCTGAATTAAAAAAATTTACTGATTCAAATGTCTAATTTTTTCAATATAATTTAAGTAACGATTCATACATCATACTTGATTTCGAGGATCATTCGGCAAAAAAAATTGTTTTATCAACCCAATAAGACTCATCACTCATAATTGTTTAAACTATCTGATGATCAATGTTCTGCAATAAAATTTATAGAAGAAATGGCCTTCAGCAACTGATAGTGACTAAATCGATTTTTACTCTTTAAATGACCTTCTATTTTATTTGCTTTCTACTATTACAAAATTTATATTTGATCTTGAAAACTACAACTGAAGAGGATAGAAATTCATAACTTACTTTTGATGTTCCATCACTTCCACTATCATCATTGGTTACTTCGTTAGATAATGAAACAGTATCAAAGGACATCGTTCTCACCATCTGATTTAAACTAATTTGAGCTTCATCTTCAACATCTTCCATTGTACCAGTTTCAATACCTTCTTCACCATCTGTTGTATTTCTTTTTTTTTTTGATGCAACCCAGAGATTCAAACTGTTGCATATGATTAAACGTAATTTGTGAGCAGTACAATGTATATATTTTATATTTCGACGAGTAAAATAACTAAACATATCGCGCATGTTAGGCGCGCCGTCACACGTGATGGTGACTAGTTTATCATACAAGTTCAGGTTAATTAATTGATTTTCAATTTCATTTGCAATCAATATTGAATAGTGACGATCTTCAAATTTCATAAATTGTAATATTTTCGAATGTTGATCGAATTTTTTGTCAATATGATGTCCTGTAATTACTAGATATGAATTCTTTTTTCGGTCTTTCCAAAAATCACAAGTAATAGATAAATATTTAGCTTCTTCAAATTCAACTTTTGTCCGATTAGAATGGTGACGATAAAGACGTTTCAGTTCTTTTACCACGGTATTTCGATGAGGTGGTTTATAACCTATTACAAAATAGAGATTTTAAGTGATGAGACTACATTTTTGTGAAACACGATCTGAAATGAGCGTTGAAATGTTTAGAGGTAGAAATTTGAACCTTCCCCCCCCCCCCCTCCTTCACAGACCGAGACATGCAGGGCTTGGGATCCATCACAGACCGTGACATGCAGGGCTTGGGATCCATCACAGACCGTGACAGGCAGGACTTTGGGCCTGTCACAGGTCGTGACAGACAGGGCTTTGGATCCGTCACAGACAGAACTTGGGATCCATCACAGACCGTGACAGGCAGAGCTTTGGACCCGTCACAGACCGTGATAGACAGGGCTTTGGACCCGTCACAGACTGTGGCAGACAGGACTTGGGATCCATCACAGACCGTGACATGCAGGGCTTGGGATCCATCACAGACTGTGACAGACAGGCTCTAGCGGTCGTCATAGACTGTGATAGAAGACTTTAAGGACATATCAGAGATAATGCATAAGTAATATATTATTGAACCATATATGGGGTATTATCCTGCTCAAGTTCTATAGTGTAAAGAAAGCCATGATGAATAAATGTACTCAATATGCGTAAAAAACAATAGTTTTTAGAAGATTGGCAACAGCAGCTACATGGTATTTCAAATTTTTAATTCCGCAAGGGATTGCACTAACAGCTTTTTTTCAGAAATAAGACAAAAGATCAAATTTTGAAGAATCATGATACAGAGAAACTTTTTTCAATTACAGAATTCTTTATACTGTCATCTTTAGGTTCAACAACATTGTCATTCTGTTGATAAAGAAAAAGAATAAATTTTACTTATTTGTGTAACTTCTTTCTGTCCAGATTGACCTGTTAATGTAGTATTAGGGGCATATTTTGTATGATGTTAACAAAGAAGGAAAAACGGCTCCTAGCAGTCGATAGGATAAGTTCGTTGGAGTACATGTAACCTATCAGATCTTACTGCAATTCACTTGGTTTCAATATAGTTCATTAGAACTAGCTAAAGTTCGCTAGAAACTAGAATAGATCTTAGAGTTTTACACGGATTTAAATTTAATATCGAAAGTATGAATTCTTTTAAATCTTAAATTTACTAAACCCGTCAAGATCCACCGAGATCCATAAATGTCTAGCAAAATTTACATTTCTTAGATGCATCTTTTCTTTCTTACTTAAAACTTAAAGGGTTAACTGTCCCTATGTTTGCTTATTTTCCTCAGTTCCTGATAAATTCTAATGGATCCAATATACTCTAGTAGCTTTTGATGAATGTTAGGATCCATCACGATCCAACTTTTTCTCTCTTAGAAATCAATTAATTCGAAATTACCAACAAGAACTTTCAAATATTATCAGAAATCAGTTCACATTCAAGAATGTCGAAATCAGAAAGTTTCGAATTCATGAATTGAGGAAGTTTTAAAAACCTTTTGTTAAAATTATATATTTTTTTTTCATTTCTTTTATTGTTCCCAAAAGAATAGAGTTAACATAGAAACAAATATATAGAGAGGATTATGGTGACAATACATGGTAAAATTATTACGAGGTCGTTTGTTAATATAAGATAGAAAATTAATTTTTTTTTGTCATCTTATCATTGCCATCTTCTTGCACTATACACTAATTCGCAATATTTTCTTTTTGAAAATGTCTTAGTCGTTACTTAGTGGAAATGTAAGATATAACAATAGAACAAATAGTACTAAAAGGAAACAAAGTAAAAGTAGTTGTAATCGCGTAATAAAGAAAGATAACATATAGCAAAAGTTAATACAATGATAATTGCTACTATATTAGTAGACACATGTAGAGAAGATAAAATTACAAAAAAAAACTATAATTATATTTTTATGAGAGAATAGCCTTGCTCAGTTTACTATAAATATCTTTTATATATAATGCATCTACAGCCGGTTTTCAGCGGTTTCACGAACACATCATTAAATTTCGATACTCATTACGAATTTTTGCTGTTCTTGATTCAAAGTGCCGTCATTGCAAGATGATGAAGTTTGTAAATTAACTCAGTATATTTTTAACAACGAATCAAACTGTTCCTAAGTTTATTATACTCCAAACACAACTTAAACTACCAAAATTTATTTCGTTCCTATCTTATTCACTGAATAACAATCAGAAAATCCTCTTACCTGGTTTCAAAGCATCAATTAATTTTTTAATGCCAGTTTTCTGAAAATCACCATATCCTCTACCATCTTGAATGATTGCATTTACAGCTAATAAATCTAATGCTTTTTTTTCTGATTTTGATAATTTGATAGATGTGGTCGAAAAACTTGGTGCATCAGCTGAATCAAATTGTTTTATACCATGTACTTGTACCAGATGACGTTTAAGAGTTGATGTTCCATAGTTCGGTGTAGATAATTCATGTTGGCACAGTAGACATCTTGCTTTTAAAGGTCCAGTTGAAGTACACCTTTCGAAATATTGCCAAACATCAGACTTTGGAACGTTTTGAATAACATCTTGAGTTGGTGATGTTTCAGTTGATTGTTGATCAGATGATGTTGGTGGAGATGTATTAATACCTTCATTATGTGATGAAGTTATACGAGAATCAGTAGTATGACGTCGGGTTTTCATTTAAATGTAAACGACAGTTATTGAGGATTATTAGAAAAAAAAAATAATTAGGTTTATTGATATTTATATATAGAAATGGAAACGAGATAGATGTTACGAATTGGTCGACAAGTATGTTTTCATGTAACAACAGAGGAAAGAGAAAGAGAGAGAGATGATTTTTCCAACCGTCAGTCTGGATTCAGTCATATAATTATCTTTCAACCGTTGGAACTAACATCTTTACAAATTCAGCTTAAACGACACGATTAAAATTCCTTTACTTCGTTTTTTTATATACTGGCGACGCATATCGACACGTGTGATGACACGGAAGAAGTTTCCTGGATCCTGATCTATTAAAAATTACAGATCAGTTTATTACCGTAAAAAAATGTTACATTGTCGTCGTAAAAACTTCGATTTGTAAAACATATCTGATTAAGCTGTGCATAAGCTAACCTTATATAATCAGCTCGTTACATACAATAGCCATCAAAATAACAGACTGCGAACAAAAGTATAAAATATTGTCCAAAAATATTTGATTTAGAATGGTTCGTGTAAGTTATTTATTATATGTTCAATACGTGCATGGTAACGACGAATGTGCTATTTTTTTATGTAAATGACAAAATGCAAATAGTTTCTGCTGAGCTCCTCCAAAAGACTCTCCAAATCTCTTTTCTCGAGTCATATCCGCAACAGACAACAGATGAATAAGACCGAAACATAGTGATCAATGGTTTTTGGATCTCTACTCATAATCCTGAGTCTATCACAGGGGTGGAACCGGTTGAGAAATATTAAAACGGTCCGGTCCGGCCGGTTGGCATCACATGTCCAACCGGTGAAATTCCGGTGAAAATCGGTTAAAAACCGGTGGAAAAATGTCGAATTTTGTTTTGAAAACCGATTTTTAGAAAAAAGGCTCCAAATATGAAATAGTTTAAGGCGCATGTAAAAGGCACTCATCATAATAAACCTTTTTAAAGAGAACCTCAGAAAAAACAATTAATATAACATATATTTTGAGTACTTTTTCACGTATTCTGACAGAAAAAACATGTGATATCTTAGTTTTTATGGTCAAAAACAGGGTTAACAAAGAAGATTTTTGAAAACTTTCAACCGATAAAATTCCGGTCTTCACCAGCCCGGTACCGGTTTGCTGGACCGGTTCCAACCCTGGTCTATCAGTCCAACTAGCAAGTTCAAAGGTATCTTTTTTGATTTAGTAACCCTCGATGAATAACAAACGTTAACAATAAATAATGTAATAGAAACCGGCCACGATTAAAACCGGAATCCCACCATTAGTTTGAGCGCTTAGCTCATATCCAAACCCAAACCCAAACCCAAACCCAAACCCAAACCCAAACTCATATACCCAAACCCAAACTCAAACCCAAACTCATATACCCAAACCCAAACCCAAACCCAAACCCAAACTCAATACCCAAACCCAAACTCAATACCCAAACCCAAACCCCCAAACGGTTTGGGTTTGGGTTTGGGTTTGGTGCATGCCTAAGTATATATATAACGCCAAAAGAGCTGAATATTTAGTCGAGGACCAAGCGAGTCACACGGACGAGCGTTACTTCTTGCTAAGTCGGGACGATTTTGAGGAAGTGCTTTTTCATCATATGAAAGTGCTTTTGGGTACTCATGCATGTCAGAATATACCATGCCGATGTTGCTATAAGAGCGTACCAAATTCAGATGATTCAAAGGAAATGATCGTTGTTGAATTTCAAGTGCTTCTCAGTAATCATTCATCTTGAAATATGTATTACCGATGCTGTTATAGGTAACAGTCAAATTCGGATGATTTGGAGGAAGTGCTTGTTGCCGAACTTCAAGTACTTTTTCATAATACAAAGGTGTTTTTGAATACTCGCTCATATCCTTATACACCTCACCGATGTTGTTATAGGAATGAAGGATGTTTTGTATCGTTCGTGCGTTCATACATCTGCTCGCATCTCCATCTTTGGTTAAATCAGATGCTCGCTTCATTTCTTCTGCACAAGCGAAATTGTTAACTGTCGATGATTTCGTTTCATCCATTAGTTATTGTGTGAATTTTTGTTGTATTGAATTAACTGTATAAATACCAGTAAGAGAATGATCAATTACCTTATTATATAAAGCATCCGCTTTCTTGCTATTTTTATTTTTGTTTTCTTCGTGTGGACACATCGCCTTTTTTTTCCTGTTGAATATGTTGTTACGAAAAAAATAAGAAAAAAGAAATCAACATGTATATTTCTTATTGGTGAACAAGAAATGCAAAAGACTTATTCATTTTTTTTAAAGACAGAGAGTGTTGATAGATTTTCTCCTCTATTGTTGAGAAGTCTATGGGCTTTTTAATTTTAAACTGAAATTCGAAGAAACTCAGGCTTCTTTTCCGAAAGACCGAGAGGCTCAGGAGAGTAGAAAAAAAAATCCACTGTTCAGAACATATTATGCAAGAAAGCGTCTTACATCTATATAAATGAATTAACAGATAACGCTTAATCAGCATAGAACAGCTACCATTATTCATTACCGTTTTCCCACGCTCTCAACCTTTACCGTTATTCCATATCCACATGTTCATCTTCGCGCCATACGGTCACTCCATATTCTCAGTCTGAACCACGAAGACTTGAGAATCTTCTTCGGAGGGTGAGAGCTTGTGGACTTAGTGAAATCACCGAGATTTAAATTTCTCAAGGATCCACTCTTCTCACAAAATCTCCAAGTACTCGAATCTCCATCGTTAGGACAGTCCCTTCATTTCTAAATTCTCTGATTCTAGGTTGAGACTGGTGACTTTTCGTTTTAAATTCAGACTGAAATCAAATAGGCTATTGTATTATCTTGAAATACATTATTGTTGTTGACAAATCGAAAGTTAAAATTATTTTATACTGATAAATGCATTATGAGTCATACAAGTCGACAGCATAGCGCTGTTCGA